GGCGTAAACAGGAGGCATCTGGGATTAATCGAGGTTGAGAAGAAGAACTAGTCAGAAAGGTAGCCACACCGACGAAGGGGTTTTTCTTTGGGAACCCTAACCGGAGCCTTTGACTGAAGAGTCTGACCCGCAAGGCAGCGGGAAGTACACATGTTATGGTAGACCAAAGATGGGATAAGACATAGGTGAGAAAAAATGACGAGTTTCGAACGAGATGAATTAACTGGGGCGCTGGTGTATGAATGAAAGCTTATAGACTGNCACCAAATAGATCATGACTACGTGGTCCAACTTGTGTGTTTATCAGAGGTGTTCAATAAACAGGTCACATACTTCTACTTGAACGAAATGAAATGACCTGAATTACATATATGGATCACCGATATTTATTATTTACACACCTTTAACACACTTAGTACAGACCATTAAAATGAACATGAGAGTCGGTCATGGACATCATCAGAAAACAGCAACCTACCTGTCGCCCCGTAGACACATGTTCTGCTAATTTTACTTTCGCAAAATTGCCCCGACCCAACGTGCGAATTAATTTGTATTTGCCGATGTTTGGTTGATCCCTCCATGGTCGCCGGCCGGATGACCGACCAGGTGTCCCAGTGGACGCACGTCCATTAGCGTGGGTTGGAGTCGATCCAGTGGTTGCATTTGTCTGTGAGGTACCCACCGTACTTCCTTCGTGCACGGATCCGGCCTGATCCGAGACGTGATTTGCCGTTTCCGGACCATTTTGTGGTCGAGTGCTATTAGTATTTGCAATACTACTTTTACGAGACGGAGATCGTGTAGTCTGAGAGGAAAAGAGGACAAAGATTAACCACAAACATAGGCGGCCACGGAAGTTAGTATAAATGCTTCAAAATAAAAACGTAAATGCGTGAAAATAATAATATTTGATCAGTTTGTATGTAGATAGATACAGGCATCTTTATCCATCCGAGATCTCAAAGGGCAACAGGGACGCGAATAACAAGTGCCAGCAGTGATAACCAAGATCTATCATTTTCGTAAGGAAACTGTTGACTGGAGTAAAAGGTTAAGTGAAAAAGGCTGACACTGGGAATACCAAGTTGTAGTGTTTTTCTTCACGGTTGCCTAAGGATGTTTCCTTGTTGTCGACTTGTCCTAAAAGAGTAAATCACTTAAAAGTCATAAAAAGGCGGTGATTTCTGGGATTAGGTGGTTTTTACGCTGACAAGCAATCTTTTTACAACAAGGTGTTATACATGTTCACTGAAAGCACTGTGGTGTGAAACGTTCACCCACGACTAAATAAGGTCAGTGTAATCGACCGTGTCGACCCATGGGTAGCAAAAAGCTGTGCAACAGATAGAGACCACTCATGAAGGAAAAGGCCGAGTTGTAGGTTCTGGTGGCTCTTCATAAATTCATCCAAGAAAATGAATAATTCCCACCTAGATGGCTATTTAAGAGAAAGGGGTAAGTGTTATATTTTTTAAAGCTAAAAGAGGTATTTCTTTCAGGCGAAGAACAAAACGGCACGAGTTCGACACTCCAGAGGGAAAAGATTGCCAAGTGATCAACGATATTCCCATAAACCCGATGAAACTCCAACTGAAATGAAAGCCGTATTCGATACGGCTTTGTGTCTTGAGAGCGGAAAATACACACTAGTTCCCTTAGTTTACAGGATTAAAAGCAATTCGATAGGATCTCGTAATGTCGATTCGACGAAAGTCAGTTGGTCAGTTGCTTCATCAGTTCGGATTTTACAACCATTAAACATGTTCATTTGTGCTCAGTTGCCTTACAGTATCATTAATTTTTAAATTGACTTTGAGCGGGGTCTTCTGATTTCCCATTTGGTCGACCACTGAAGCAAAGAATAAAATCAAACGAAAAGCTCACTGTAAAACTAGATAAAGATACAGAATGTGAGCAAATTGGACGTGCACATAAAATGAGTGGATGCACATGCGAAATTTGACTGTGCTCGGTCATGTTATCTAGTGTTTAACCATCTGATCTCACCTCACCGCTACCTTGCGAGTCAGGCTCTGATTAGTCGAATGCTCCGGTTGTGAATTCACAAAATTCACCTGAACAACCTTGAAGTATTCAGCTCATGAACCGTTTTCCTCTGATATGAAGATTATTGTACCGTGATTTGTTTTGTACACAG